AAGCATCTGGTTATCTCTCAGTTTCACTTTCCATCCAGGTGGTTTACTCTTTTGATTTTGCACACGTTCCCTTTGCCTGGCAAGTTTTCCAGGTCGATATTACATTCATTTCCCCATCTTTCCCATGCAGCTACTGGCAGAATCTTGTTTCTCCCATGCTACATGGGAACTAATATTATCTGAGAAGCACCTTACATTACCAACCCCATCATATGAACACTTCCACACTTGGGCACAGGCTGTAGCCTTCAACAGGCTAGAAGAAGCTAAGGAAAAGCTCAAGTTCTCTCAGTGTTTCTAACACATCTAATAAATGCTCCTTTCAGTAGAGAATGTGGCACCAATCTTCTGCATCCATTTTTGTTCCTCTTTTCATTTTTGTTACAAGCATTCCTGAAGGAATCAGCATTTATTTTAGCTCATTCATTGCCAGAGAAGAGATTCTTATGAATCTCCCAGGCTATCCAATACTTTAATATATGTCTTTCCTAAAGTATGACCAAACTATGAGAATATAAATTGACTTCATGACAATAGAATATAAATGGGGAGGTATATAGAAAATACTAAACTTATTTACATAAGAAGGATAAGGTACTTAATAATTTTTCAACATATATTAACTATGACCATGTTATCTATTGAGATATAATATATGAAGAGCTTCTGAGGAAAGGCTTTAATAATCTCAGAATATAGTCAGTAATGTGGCTGGCCTCACCAACTATCAGATTTTTTTCCCAAAAGTTTTAAGGAATATTGAAAAAAAAGGGGGTTTCTATAGAGGAAACAAATCCATCAGAAAATAGGTAATAAAAAGGTCAACTGAGGGCCAAGCACATTAGCATAGTGGCCAAATCCTCACCTAACATGCTTCAGGAGGAGGATCCTGGCTCCTGGCTTCGGATTGGCTCAGCTCCAGCTGTTTCAGCCACATAGGGAGTTAACCAGCAGACAATAGATCTTTGTCTCTGTCTCTCCTCTCTGTAAATCTGCTTTTCCAATAAAAAAAAATAAATCTTAAAAAATTTTTAAAAATCCTCAAATGAAAAAGATTGATTACTTTTGGGCCAGAGCTGTGGCTTGGCAGGTTAAGCTACCCCTTATAGTGCCTACCTCCTATATAGACCCTGATTCTGGTCCTACCTTCTCTTTTTATCCAGATCTGTTAATGTTTCTGGGGAAAAAAAAGAAAAAAAAAAAGGTGACTCAAGTCCTTGGGTCCCAGCACCCATGTGGGAGATCCAGAGGAAGCTTCTAGCTCCTAGCCTGAGCCTGGTCTACCTAGCCTGGCCAATGTGGCCATTTGGGTAACAAAATAGCAGATGAAAGATTTCTGTCTAAATCTACCTTTCTAACAATAAAAAAAGATTCATCACTTATATTCATGAATAACAAGTTAGACATAGCAGGAGATAAAACAAATAGTTCTTAAGAAATTGCTGGCTCTTTTTCATGAAATTCGTTTTCCAAATCAGAAACTTTTATTTACTATGTTTGTATGAGTTTAACAAAGACCAAATGGTACGACTGCTTGCTTAACATGGAGACCCTCTAGTGATTACCTTTATAGTACAAAACCAACCTATTGTAAATGTCCGTATAACAATGCAAAAACAAAAACATGTATTTTGAATTATATTATATATACATACAGATGCTATTTCGGATGTATGATACTGCTTTAGACTAAGAGTTCAGCTGGCTGCCCTAAAATTTGCATAAGGTATGAATCAAAGCTGCATCTAAGTCTATTCAAATTGAGAACTAATCTCGATTTCAGTTTTTCCCATTACAGAAGCATCAGTTCTTTATTAAATTAGTACTCAGTTTACTTTCAGACATCTTTCCCAAAACTCACAATTCTTCCATGCTTAGCAATTTCTTGGTTTTTTTAAAAGATTTATTTAAAAAAATAAAAGATTTATTTTACTTTTATTGGAAAGGCAGATATACAGAGAGGAGAGACAGAGAGGAAGATCTTCCGTTCCATGATTCACTCCCCAAGTGAGCACAACAGTCGATGCTATGGCGATCCAAAGCCAGGATCCTCTTCCGGGTCTCCCACACGGGTGCAGGGTCCCAAAGCTTTGGGCCGTCCTCGACTGCTTTCCCGGGCCACAGGCAGGGAGCTGGATGGGAAGCGGGGCTGCTGGGATTAGAACCAGCGCCCATATGGGATCCTGGGCGTGCAAGGCGAGGACCTTAACCACTGCACCACCGCACCAGGTCCAATGCTTATCAATTTCTACGAAATAGCTCACAAGTGTGTGTATGTTCTTTTTAATATTAAAGTACTTTCAGAATACCTATCCAAATTTTTAAACATGTATTTCATCACCATATATTGAGTCATCAATATTTCTAGTCCCGTAAATGAAGCCTACATACAAGAAACTATTCCAAACTTGGTTAGCATTGTCCTGTTTTCCCAGGGACTCTGGGTGTACCTCAGCCGTTAGCATGATGGTACTGTGCCAGTGCTATCAGACAGATTCTTCACGTTGGTTCCCCTTTAACATGTCCCCTTTCAAGTACAAGCCCTATTCATTTGGGGGTGCATTTGGCGGTGGAAGAAGTGCCTTGGCTTTTGCTAGCACTTTGAAAGTATCCAAATGACCAATTATTATTATTATTTTTTTGGTAAAAATGAGACTTGAAAATTAAGCTGGAAGGATGAGGTTAAAATAAATTAATTAATTAAAATGGTAGATGGGCCACTGGGTTCAGGTCAGAATAAGGTGCCATGAAATGAGTTTGAACTATTCAGTAGTAAAACAGAGGATTGTTTTTAAGCTGTCAAAGGCAAAATGCCTATCACAAACCAAGAACACTTAAAACAAATAGCAATTTGTTCTTATACTGGACCACAGGCCTGCCATTTTTTCCCCCTTAGTCTCTGAGTTTGGTTCCTAAAGATAATTTAATCCCATTAGCTCACTGTCCTTCAGATCTCAGCATGTGTGAATGCCTCCAGGGAATCCTCTAAGGATAAGATTGATCTCGTCAAAATAAAAGGAAAGTCAAAGTATAGGTAAGTCTATTTCAAGTCAATCTGAGGATTACCACAATAATTGGAACTGATCCCTCATTTTCTGGTTTCCTGAATCCTGAGGTAATTTTCTGTGCCATCTCAGCGTGGTTGTTGAGACGTAATAATGAAATATGTAGAATCTAGTCAAATCTGGGTACATAACTACTCATTTATTTTGTGACGGAGATTCTTTCACATTTCTGGGCTGCAGTTCATTATCTGTAGAGAAGAGACAACAATCTCTTGTTCTTGTGCCAAGATCTTTTTTCTGATCCAAATGTCTGTCACCTGGTAGGGATATAATAAACACTACATCCTTGAACTTCCCTCACTGTTGCTGACTCCATGAAAATCTGAATTCTGCCGGTAAATCTTTCTATAGCATGTGTCCCAGAAGTCACAACCATACAAATAGTACAAGTAGCATGTGAGAGTATTGTGTAAAGTTTATAGAAATGTAAAATAAAAAATAATTTGCTGAAAAAGTTTTAAAAGCACTTTTTTTCATTAATACATATTTTGCATGGACTTTTTGAAGACCTCTGCCATTAGAAAATTTTCGTCTGTCAGCTGAGACAGCTTTGTCCCATATTGGAATGGCTGTGGTTAACACCCGGTTCTATTCCTGCCAACAGTTTCCTGTTAATGCACTATATGAGAGACAATAGAGATACCGATGAGTCCCTGCTCCCTATGTGAAAGACCCAGATTGCCTTCCTGAATCCTGGATATTGACCCGTTATCACTGCAGGTGCTTAGTTGAGAGAAGCATCAGATTGAAGCGTTCTCTCTCTCTCTTTCAAGAGATCAATCTCTCAAATATCCACAACATATAAGAGCACATTCTTATTCAAAGGACTATAAACCAAAGGCAGACAATATTTAGTTTCCCATCACCCACGTAGATGGCCTGGTGCCTATGATAGCTACAGTTTTACTCTGTTACACATTTTACAATCAGGATGCGCCTGCTAAAGGCTCCTAAACATTACTGAATTCCCAATTATCACTAAACATCCTTCAACTGTAGTTTCCAATCTCTGGCTCTGGATTATTTCAGAAGAGATAGTTACAAAATGTGGCTGATGGAATCACGAACAGATAAAAGTAATCTGAAGTTTATGAGAAATCATCACATGGGAATGCCAATGTGGCAAGCCACCAGTGACAGTGGCACCCAGAATGGGCATTGGTTCACCTCTGAGCAGCTCTACTCCTGATTCAGTTCCCTGTTTGACATGAGAAAAGCAGCAGAAGGTGCCCCAGGTGTTTGGGCCCCTGCACCCACAAGGGAGACCCAGGAGTCCCCAGTTCGTGGTCTTGGCCTGGCCCTGTGCTGGCATTTCCAGCAACCTGATGAGTCAACAAATAGATCACTCTCGCTCTTTCTTTGTAACTCTTTCAAAAACAAGCCTAAAAATCTTAACAAAAAAAGAGAAATTACATCAGATATTACAATACTTATATATAAAATTCTTACATTATAAATCTATAAACATCACTGCTAAGAATGACAACAAGGGATCCATGTAACTCAATATTACAGCTTTTCTTACCACCTCTACAGAAGTTAAATTTGGGTCAAATCATGTTTTAAATCCCAAGAGTTCTCCATTCCAACCATCAGGAGGGGTGTGGGAATATACTAAGGACATAACTGAGAGAAAACTAAGATAAATGCCATAAGAGGCATCTCCCATGCAGAATTCTGTTAGTGTTCTACATTCAGAACTCAGGTACCAGATCTCCGACAGGCAATGCTCCCCTCTGGAATAAAGAACAAAATGAGAAACAACTGAAGCCTTGAGGAAGAGAGATTGTCTAAGAGTGGGATGGAAGCAGAGGGAAAGGAGGAGTTAGAATATCCAGAACCAGGGTCTCATTCCTGAATTTCTGAAGGAAAAGGAACTAAGTAGCATAGTTTCCAAGGCAACCTGTTGTTGGGGTGGGGGTGGGGGACAAGGAAATGGGTGATCTTTGGGTACTTTTGCTCCTGCCTTTGTCTCTGGGAGCCTTCCAGGGGGTCAGAGGCTGTTTAGAGTGTGATCCTAAATTCAGAGAGGATATTAAGGCCATGTTGGAAAAGCTAATTCCTTCAGAAGTCCCTAGTCGAACTGAACTGATTGAACACCAGTTCAAGGAGATGACACGTTTAAGCTTCAAGGTCTCTCACGAGAACAAGATGCTACGGGTGTTGGGTGAGGGAAGCTTGGGCGTCCCTGAGAGTGTGGAGGTTAAAGAGAGAAGGGAGGTAGGGAAGAAAACACCTGGTTCCTTATAATTGTCTTCCAGCTGTAATTATCCCCCTATAAATAACTTTGCCTTTCCTTTCCAGCTATTGAAACAGTTGTCAAGTTGAGAACATGGCTGAAGAATGAATTTTCTAAGCTGAGCAAAGAAACATGGAAAGGTGATGTATCATTTCAATGTTGAAAGCTTGTACTGCAGTACTGTGGGAGCCCTGGGGGCCTCTAGCACACCTGTCTTTGCTTTGTGTGAACTCACACCAGGATAGGGACAGGATGGTGTGGGGACTACTGAGGGCCTTTTTGAAGTGTATAAAGCAATCATGAGAGGTCTCTTTGAGACAGGACACTGTACCTGATGAGAAAGAGAGAGGTAGAGAGAGACCAAAACTGAACAGGTTGAGTAAGGGATTACAATGCTCTCCCTGGGCCAGGCTGCTATATCTGCTGGTATGTGTGAAGACTAGGGGTGGATCAGGCCAGGCCAACTGTACTATCCAGCAACCAGAAATTCAGATCTGGGGGTGAGGGAGGTGGCCAGGTAGGGGTTCCAAAACATTGCAGGCCATTGCATCTGCTAAAACATTTAAAAGCCAGGCTGTGATGAGCTGGGCCAGGTCAGGCTAATAAATTGGTGCACATGAGAGCCAGGTCTGTAGACCAAACAAAGGACCCTGGAATGTTTTCCCAGGCTACACTGCTATGCTCATTGGTGCAACAAATTCTGGCTAGGCAGCATAAAGGAGGCCTAGCCAGGAGTGGGCTCCTTGAATCTCATGAAGGCATCAGACCAATGGCATCCCTGATTTCAAGGATCAGAGTCCATGAACGTGTGATCCAGTGTCAAAACACATATTGCATGACTAAGCCACTTGCATTGTACCTGACAGTCTGGAAAGCGCACTCTTCAAAAGCAATGAAAATCCTGAAGTAACTCTTCAAAGAGTGGAAGGATACAAAAGTTATACTACTCCTCAGGCCAAGTTCTATGGCAAGCACCAAGTCTATGGACACTATAAAGTAGCCATAGTCAATGGACTTTAGAACATAGAGAACAATGAAAAGCCTGGGTAAAAAAAGAATGAGTAATTTCATATCTGTCCAGTGAAGCCAACAACTTCTCAGAGCAATCAGGCTGATGTGGTAGACACCGTCATAGCCACTAAGTGAAAAGTCTCCACCTATCCATAAAGATGCATTAAATGAAAGAAAATTATAACAACAGGGTAGTTAGTCAAAGGTCATAATTTGAAAGTCACATGTTCTCTGCTATATGTAAATCTCAACCACGTTTGACTCGTGTAAAACACTTGGGACAATTTCCGTCACCCAGCATCCTGGAGGTGGAATCATGGGACCACTCCTGTTTTCTGGCACATGTGTAGTCTTACAGAAAAAAGTATTGTTTTCTCTCCCTTTACGGCTTCATCCCTTTGGACACATTAGGGAAGGCAGAAACTGTTCTCTCAACCAGCTACCCCATCTCTCGAGCCACTCTATCCCCATGTGTGGCCTGTATGGTTCTGTGTACCCCACATTTTTGTAATGAACTTTAAAATTAACAATGATTTTAAAAGTTAGTATTGCCCAAATAAATCTAAAATATCCTTTGAATTAAAATTTTCTGATATCCTTTTCCACCCCTCTTAGGTGTGTTTATTTTGCAAGGAAAGCTTCTTGAGATCCGCCAAACCTTGGAATCCAAACTACAGAAGTTATTAAAGAGCTTCTCTGAAGTCGGTAATTAACATGTCCATCTAACTACACTTAAATTACTTGTAAGGATAGAAACTGTGGGGTGAGAAGGAGAAATGAGGGCTCCTTTTACAATTGTTTAGAATGGTTGATGGGGTAATTTGAATTTAGTAAGTTCAAAAAAGACTATTTGAGGATGAGGGTGGCTAACTCACTCTAAACTCAATGGAATGTTCTGTTCTCTTTTTAGCTTGTTCTGAAGATTGCAGTGAGTACAGCACACGGATGCCTTGAGTATTTAGCCCGCATTTTCCCACCTCCTTTTTTCTATATAGCCTTCTCTACCATCTATCACATTTCCTTAACCTGTGATTGCAATGCAAATGTCAATAATACTCATATCTGATAACAGAACCTAGCAACATCTTACAGATTTTGCACATGCTTGGAGGCCTCCAGAAGTGTAGTTGACAGCCCATTGCTCCATTACATGCTGAAGTAGGATTTTTTTTCATACTTCTTCCCTAGAATTCTGTTAAATCATAGATTCTGGTCTATTATGAAATTTGACTGCTAAAGGAAGAAGGAATTCACAGTACTGCAAGCTCAAGAATTCTAGAAATCCCGGAAATCTAAAACATATTTTATGTCTCAGTTAAGCAGCAAGTCGCTTGCCATGGCCCCTTGTGACTATCGGTTTTCACTGTTTTAGTTCTGATTGAAGGTCCCATCCTTGATTGCTGGACATGCCTTCGCATCACCACCCAGTGCTTCAAAGGAGAATATTGTGGAGGTAATAAAATTGCAGTGTAGCAGTTTGAGGGCTAGGAATCAAAGACCTGGGCTCTTCATTAATTTATCCAACAAGTATTTGTGAGAAACTTTGTACAAAGTCATAATGTTACAAAATAAAAACCAAAATGGCAAGTTAAATTTGTACCAGGATGAAAAACTGAGCTAGGCCAAAATGATGACTAGATTGAAAAAGCTGGACCAGGCGCAGAGAATTGGGCTAATAGCCGTAAGATCAAAATAACCAAGCAACACTAAAGAAGTAATAAATAGGGTGGGTGAGTGAGTGGGGGAACTGGGGTTAAAGGAGTCCCTGGTCTAGATTTAGATCTGAAGTTGCTATTTCTCTTCTGTAAACTCATTTTTTCATTATTCTTTTTCCAGAGGATGACCCAAAAAAGGCTGAAAGTCGAGAGATAGGACTGTTTCTAGTACTGCTGGCAGAAATTGGAATATTGGCAAGTGCTGTGTTACTGTGAGTTTTTCTCCCTCCAAATAAACACTGGGTCAAGCATTGCTTTAGAAAGGAGACCACCCAACTTTCATCCATGCCCAATGAAAAGTAAGGGAAAGCCATTTCAAAATGTGTGATATTAGATAGTTGGAAGTTAAATGGATTCATGTTGATGGGACAGGTGTTGTAATACAAAGAAATGCAGATGAAATATACAAGAGACAAGAGGAACACCTTGATCCATTATGTTGAAGATTGTTACTGCCAATATTGAAATGGGGTTATCTCCTTTCTCTAGATTCCATTTTTGTGTCATTCATCGGAGAAGGATGAAAGAAATACGAAATACACTAAAGAAATATTTGGAGAAGAAACTTGAACAATTAATAGGAATGTCAGATAAGGAGCAGGAGAGAACAGACTTTAGGCCAAGAAAATAAATACACAAACACAGATTGTATGTCTTAGCATTGACTCAGAGCCCGAAACTGGGAACTAAGCTCTTCTGTGGTCATAAACTAATATTGTTTTAAAACTGAAAAAGAACTTAGTTCGTCTAGTGAAACTAGAATGTGATCCTAGAATGTGAAACTAGAATGTGGAGCAGTGTGAAGGCAAAGGCTTTGCCCTGAGTTCTACAGAAAGGAATACTGCCATTTTGTAATGCACGTGAGAATATGTTCAATGGCAAAAAGGAATGGTGTGCCAATAAAGCTCATTAATGACTATAACTAGGAAAACTTCTACATGTCTTAGGCTGTCTTTTATTTGTATCATGGTGTTGTTACTGTTTCCATATTCATAAGCTATCATACATTTTCCTTGATGAAACATTAAAATCTTCCTCATACCAAGCACATGCATGTTCATGAAAAAAAATTAAAAGCAGTGGCAATGTGGTGCCAGAGGTTACATATAATATTTGCAATACTGACATTACATATTTATGTATCATTTCGAACACTGACTCTTCCACTTCCTATCTCTTTCTGCTATTGTGCTTGGGAAGGCAGCAGATCATGGCCAAACTGGGCTGCGACCACCCATGTAGAGATTCAAATGTACTTCCTGACTCCTGTCCTCAATGTAACTCAGCCTTGGCTGCAGTGCCCATTTGAGGAGTACACCAGTGAGTGAAAGATATTACTTTTCAGTTGCTTCCATTATATACTTTCATTTGATATAAATACTACTTTATTACCTAAGTGAATTTTCATAGATGACTTGTAGTTTATGATTACCTCCATTTTAGGAATGAAGAAACAGAAAATACCTTTAATTCCAACTCACACAGCTTTAATCTAGGCTTTATCAAACCTAGTAGTTTATCAAAATGCTTCCCAAATTGATCTGATTGGTATTGAAAGCTGTAGGTTATGGTTATGAAAAATTAACAAAGAGAAGAAAATTGTGGGCTTATCTTCTTCACATATTCTTTAAATAACTAGCACATGGCAAAGCTCAGAATAAAATACAAACCTGGTTGGCAATAAAATACATGAATTTTTTTACTCTTTTTTTATTGCTTTTACACTAGACGCTTAATTCAGGAAATGCTAAAAATAGTAAAAAGGACACCAAAAGGAAAATTGCAACAAGAAAATAAACAAATATTAAGAAACCAATTGAGTATTTATCATAAAGAAAAACAAACTTTGTGTAAAAAAAAGAATGAGGAATAACTTTATTTAAAAAAGAATAAACTAAAAGTGAATTAAGGAAAATAAGAAAGTTATATATAGTAATAGTTGTTAAGGGCCTTGTCATACATGCACACACAAAGAAAAGTTTTATTTACTTTGTTTTTATTTTTTATGAAATAATCAAATGTGGCTCTTAGAGATATAAATTGGGAGCCCAGCATGATAGCCTATTGGTTGAATCCTCACCTTGTATGAACCTAGATCCTAAATGGGCACCAGTTCATATTCCGGCTGCTTCACTTCCTGCTTGTAGCCTGGGAAAGCAGCAAAGGATAACTCAAAACCTTGGGATCCTGCACCCACATGGGAAACCTGGAAGAAGCTCCTGGCTCTTTGCTCCCTGTTCCTGGCTTCAGATGAACTCAATTTCGACCACCGCAGCCACTTGGGAAGTGAACCAGCAGAGAGAGAAGTTCTTTCAATCTGTACCTCCTTATCTCTGTATATCTGCCTTTCCAATTTAAAAAAATTAAATCAACCTTTTAAAAAAAGATTAAAATTGAACATACAATATCTAAATCATTTCAGAAAGAATGATATGGTAAACAAAATGACATTGCACCACCAGATCAAGTTAGGAGACAAAGGGGCAAACTATAACATTGTGTAGCCCATAGCTCATTAATGAGACCAATGAATAATATGATGATAAAAGTTACAGTTTGCCCAATATGCCTAATAATCAAATTTCATGAGTTTAACAAGAGAGTCCGGAAATTAAAACTGCATGTTGAAGGAAACAAGGAATTGGAAAGGGTGGAGGAGGACTGACAAGATTTCCACAATCAAGAAACTAAACACAAGTTCTTAGTAGTTGATTAAATGTAAAAAGAAAATCTACAAGGTTACAATTTTGTAGGATAAAAAGGACAACCTTTGACAACATGGAGCCCAAAAACTCAATAAATTCATCTCCTAATAAAAATAAAGCATTTAAAAATTTTGCAATCTCTGTAGCTCAGCAGACTATAGTTGGCTTTTTTTCTGAACAAAATCCTATTCCTCATGTGCACATGGTTAGAAACATCTCAGTCTCCCATCCCATCAGATGGAGTGAATACCTAAATCTGATCAATCTCGTATCGGTGTAACTGATAAAACCATTTCCAGACACTTCTCTTAGATCTTAGAATAGTAAAGATCCTTAACTAAAGCATTTGTTTCTGATTGTATATGAATACCACAAGATTTTATTTTATTGAGCTTCTTAGTTTGTTAGTGCATGGATGGGAAATATCTATCCCATGGATCAGACAAATCCTGAGAAATGATATGGCCTGCTCCTACCAAGAAAACCACAGGCAAGAGTCAAAATTCAGTTAATCTATAGCAGGGCAATTTTTAAGTTGATAATTTTATAGAGTCCATGAATGATGTTCTAGAAATATCCCCATTCCCCATTCCTTTTTACAGCTATAATTAACTTATCTATTAGATAAGCCAAAAAGAAGATTTCAACAATATCAAAAGAGTATTTTATGAAGAAATGTAGGGATTAAAAATTCAGATAATCAAACCTAAAATTAAAAATTAACCAAAAATTTTAAGAAGTATATTTGGAAAAGTGTTATTTATGAATAACTTATGAGTTAAAGATTAAACTAAAAAGTAGGTTATAAAATAGACAATGAAACCACATATCAAATATTTTTGAAGTGCGAACAATGATTATATTTAATTTAAGGATTATCCATCTATTTAGAGATAAAACACACCACTCAAACTAGGCATGTAAAAAGAATATAATAAACTCAAACAGGGCCCAGTGCGGTGGCGCAGTGGTTAAGGTACTCGCCTTGCACGCCCAAGATCCCATATGGGCGCCAGTTCTATCCCGGCAGCCCCGCTTCCCTTCCAGCTCCCTGCCTGTGGCCCAGGAAAGCAGTCAAGGACAGCCCAAAGCTTTGGGACCCTGCACCTGCGTGGGAGACCCAGAAGAGTCTCCTGGCTTCAGATCGGCATAGCATTGACCGTTGTGCTCACTTGGGGAGTGAATCATCACACGGAAGATCTTCCTCTCTGTATATCTGCCTTTCCAATAAAAAAATGATAAAAAAATCTTTTAAAAAATGTTTAAAAATAAATAAATAAACTCAAACATACAAAGAAGGAAATCTAGATGACACTGCAGCTACAACACAAAGCAGTGAATAGAGATAGCTAACACTAGATGCTAAAAAAAGTTCATTCCCACTAATTGAACAGTTTTTAATTATCGCAAAAAACATGAATTAAAAAGGAACAAACCACAGATATTTTGATATATACAAAGGCTTATTATTTATAACTGCCACAAGTGTATATAGTTTATTAAAATTGGGCACTATGGAGTACCATCTGATTTTTATCCATGTATACATTATGTGATGTCTAAATCAGAGTAAATATATCCATCCTCTCAAGCATTTATATTTTTTGATGGAAATATTCAAAATTGTTTCCCCTAAAATTTTTGTTTTTAAAGAAAGCACAGAATATTATTGTTAACTATCATCACTCTACTGTAGAATAGAACATCAGAATCCTTTACTCCATATAAATATTTGCTAATTAAATTCTTCCACTACACCTTCCTTCCTACTGGTTATAGACAGTGGTATAACAACTCTACTCTGTTTTTATAATATCAGTATTTTTATATGCATTAATTAGATTTAGTAGCACTTTTCTTTCTGCGCTTTGTTTATTTCACTTACCATAGTAGCCTTCATTTTTCATCTCTATTTGTTGCAAAATACAAACTTTCATCCACAATTAATAGAATTTCATTATGTATTTTGACAGCATGTAGCCCATTCATAAGTCTACGAACAGATCGTTTTTGTGTGTACATAGTGCTGTAAATTTACAAATAGTAAACAGCACTTCAGTAAAAACTGTAGCTGTCTTGTCAACAAATAGTTTTGATTTCCTTTGGATATAGATATTTAGTGAAATTGCTGTGTTACATGGTGATTCCATTTACAGTTTTTTGAGGAATCTACAAACTGCTTCCCACATTGGCTATACTAGTTTACAGTCCTATCAGCAGTACATAAACATTCCTTTCATTCTCTTCCTCATCATGAATTATTATTCTCTTGCTTTTCTGATAGAAAAAATGGTGAGGTGACAGCTCATTACTGTTTATTTGAATATCCCTGATATTTGCATGATGAATATTTTTATGCACTGTAGATTTGTGTGTATTAGACATGAAGAAGTATGAAACCAGAATCTATCTTTCATCAGATACAAAAGCAACAGCACAACTAGAAAACACGCACACACGCACATACTATGCAAATGCTTCAGGGTATTGAAACAGGCAAAGTTTTTTAGATTATATCCCAAAGGCAAAAGAAGTTGACAGAAAGCAAATAGGATTACATCTAACTAAATAGTTTCTGCCCAGCAAAGAAACAATCAACAGGGTGAAGAAGCAAGCTAAGAACGGGAAGTGATCCACAAGCTGTTCATCTGACAAGGAATTAGTAACCCCAGCACACACACAAGTGGAAATCCTTCAGAGCAAGATAAATAATCCAATTAAAATGTGCAGTGGATTTAAGCAACTGTCGTTCAGAGTAAAATAAACAAGTGGCCAACAGGTACATGAGGGTCTCTCAGTTGCTTACAACTAATGTAATCACACATTAGTTGTTTACAACTAATTTAATCACACTATTTAAAATCTGAATGAAAGGAATGAAAGTGATATTTTAGTAAACACTTGAAAATATGAATATAGTGAGAAAAAAGAAATAGTTTCAATGTTCTTTATATTACCCTGGAAAGGATATAAGTAAAACGATTGACTATAAATTCTAAGCTTAAAAGCTATAGAGAAGAGTATAGCATGTTGGCTTCACCAGGACGGAGGAATTTTGTTTTTCTCCCAATTTAAGCCACTTATGCTAGATTTTGTTCTTAAAGAGGAAATACAGGAAAGCAAGCAAGTCCAATTGAAAGGAGCCATGTTTAGTTTTTAAAAGATAAGTATGGATTTGGGTGATGTGACCAAAAAGGTTCAATTTCAATGT